ATAACATTCTGACACACCCCCATAGCCAAAGTGGGGTGTAATCAGCACAATGAGCAAGCAGGCATAGAGCAAGAGTTTACAATAGGTAAGTAAGGCTAGAGCTAATCACAGAGGGCAAGTGAGGAGGAGGAGAGACTGTGGGGGAGAGAAGATGGGAGGCGACTGCTGACGCTGCAGACACACAGACGAGCTGCTGGCTCAGTGGCTACCGAAGCAAAGGCCCGGACTACAGGAGTAACTGGCTCCGCGGCTAAAAGTAGCGGCAGACGAGCAACTGACCCACAGACGACTGGCGACTACCGGAGATTGTAGCCTCCGGACTGCTGGTGCTGCTGACGACAAGACTGCTGCCTCCACGCAACCTCCCCCAGCTGCCCAACGCCCCTCTCACACACCCCCTGCTCAAACCCTAACCCTACACCCACAGCACCCACGTAAACCCTAAAACCCAGACACCCACACATCCACCTCCCTCAAAACCCTAGCTCCACTTCCACAGTACCCCCCTTAAACCCTAAACCCCAGGCTCCCACACATCCACCCCCCTCAGCGACAGCTGCAGCAGTGGGAGACGAAGGAGGAGGAGGAGGAGCAGGGGAGACCACACACCCGTCACCCCCTTCTTGCCACCCCCAAACCCTAACACAGGGCAGGGCGGGATGGCGCGTAGGGAGGGGGGGGGGGGGGGGGGGGGGGCGACGCGCGGCCTCCCAGGGCGCCAAAGCAGGCGGCAGAAGGGGCGACGCTCGCCCCCCCCCCCAGGTTGCCCCTCAGGTCGCCTCGACAGGCGACGGGAAAAGGGGGGAGGGGGCGGTGCACCGGTGCGCCGCGGCTGGCGGCGGGGCATGGCCGGGGCGGGGCCGGGGCCGCTGTAGGCGGCGACGGGGCCGAGGAAGGGCGGCGACGGGGCCGCTGAAGGGCGGCGACGGGGCCGCTGAAGGGCGGCGACGGGGCCGCTGAAGGGGTGGCGGCAACGGGGCCGCTGAAGGGGCGGCGACGGGGCCGCGGAAGGGCGGCGACGGGGCCGCTGAAGGGCGGCGACGAGGCCGCTGGAAGGGGCGGCGACAGGGCCGCGGAAAGGGCGGCGTTGGGGCCGCTGAAAGGGTGGCAACGGGGCCGCGGAAGGGCGGCGACGGGGCCACTGAAAGGGCGGCGACGGGGCCGCTGTAAGGGGCGGCGACGGGGCCGCGGAAAGGGCGGCGTCGGGGCCGTTGAAAGGGTGGCGACGGGGCCGCGGAAGGGCGGCGACAAGGCCGCTGAAAGGGCGGCGACGGGGCCGCGGAAGGGCGGCGACGCGGCCGCTGAAAGGGCGGCGACGGGGCCGCGGAAGGGCGGCGACGGGCCGCGAAAGGGGCGGCGACGGGGCCGCGAAGGGGCCGCGAGGGGCCTGGAAGGGCGGCAACGGGGCCGCGAAGGGGCCGCGAGGGGCTAGGAAGGGCGGCAACGGGGCCGCTAAGAGAAGCGCGAGGGGCACACCACGGGGCGTGCCGAGCACAGAGTAGCAGCAGAATCAGTTGGGTCCTAGGATCGGAACCACTCTGATACCATGTGGAAACTGAAATGAGAAATGAAGGAGGGTTTCACTAGCAGCAATGAGGATACATATAGCAAACCCCAGATGGGTTGTACTCGCTATAGAGCACCCCACTACTGGCTAGAGAATAACATTCTGACAGTGTCAGAATGTTGTATTTGTCTAGCCTGCAGTGGGGTACTCTATAGCGAGTACAACCCAATCTAGGGTTTCCTATATGTACTCAACTGCTTGCTAGTGCAACCGCTCTTTCTGCTTCTAAACATTTCCTCATTCTTTCACACGAAGTACTTTCCGACATTTGATCTTGCATGCTATATCAACCTTGCTTGTACTTGCCATTATCAACCAATTCTCATTCAACTCTTCTTCAATTACTCAGTAACTTCTTCGCCTATTTCGCTAGTAGTTCTTTCGCCAATATCTTCCGTCGCGTTTCATCCTCGACTTAGTTGACCCCGCTAATTCTTTAGCGGACTTAGGCCGTCGGGCCTAACACTTGGTATCAGAGCCTTCGTGGGGAGCAACTTCCAACGAGCGACCGTCGACGACGAGACTACGACGTCATCGTCCCGCGGTGCCGACTTGCAGACTTGGAGTCGTCGAGCGAACATGGACGAAACCATGCACGCTCTCCCCCACGACATGGGCAACACGCTTGCCGAACTCATGCGCCAACTTCAAGAGTTGACGTTGGAAAATCATCAGATACGAGCTGAAATGTAACAGCTTCGTGAATTGGCTTCTAACCCCCATGGTCATGCCGCACCAACTCTTGCGCCCAACACGTCGACTGGCGCGGAAGCGCTGCCGGAACGTCGAAGCGCGCTCAAACCGCAGAAACCTGAGTCGTTCGACCCGAGTCAACGCGACGCGAATGTGTGGACGTGGCTCTTCATGCTGAACAACTACTTCACCGCGAGCGGGGTGCAAGAGGCGGACGCGCAGCAGCGGATCGAGTACGCCGTTGCACTGCTAAGGGGCCCGGCCTTGGAGTGGTGGCGCCAACTCACGCAAACTGCTGTAAGAAGGGCTCAAACAGACGGGCATCAACAGGGCGTGGGGCATGCAGCTGCAACTTCGAGCTTAGGGAGTTTAGCTTTAGGTGTTACCACGGTTCCGACCACATGGGAAGGATTTGAAGCGGCGCTGAAAAGTAGGCTCGATTTGGTGAACGCCTCCGAAGCTGCTAGGAAGCGTGTGCGTCATTTCCAACAGATAGGAAGCGTCCAGGAGTACACACGACGGTTCTTGAGCATCTGCAATGAGATAGACGACATCACGGAAGCAGAGATGCGCGATCGCTACCTCGAAGGGTTGAAGCCGGACATAGCGGAAGTTATAGCGATTCATGGGTTGTCCACCTTCCAGCCAGTTGTCGCAGCCGCAGAACGCGTCGACGCAGTACGAAGCCGACGGGGTCATGACGATCGCGATAGGGGATACAACAGACCGATCAACGACGCTCGATCGAGGGACGGACCATCGCCCATGGAGATTGGTGCAGTTAACAGTGACGGCTCACATAAAACGGGATTTAGGGGGAACTGTCACTACTGCAAAAAGCCGGGACACATGAAGCGGGACTGCCCACAGCTTAAGGAGCGGCAGCAGGGAAACGGAAACCGCCAGTAGATAGCGGGTCGCTAGCTGGTCTGGACGCTTCCGAACCCGCCACGTCTACCAACGTAGAGGAGACAGCCTTAGAGCGGTCATCTACGCCGAGAGAGGTAGACACTGTTGATCACCCAGTCGTGCTTCTAGGGAAGCTTCGTGGAGTTCGAGTCAAGATTCTCGTAGATAGCGGAGCTAGCCACTCTTTTCTCTCTTCGTCGCTAGTTAGTCATCTCCATCTCGAAACAGATTCGGCAGTCAACTTCAAAGACGCACGCATGGTAGATGGGACGCCTCTCCACATAGGACCAGTCATTCGCAAGTTACGCATAGTGCTAGGACCAATCACGGTTAGGCGTCACTTCGACTCTGCGACACTGGACGGTTATGACTTCATCTTCAGTAGGGATTGACTACGGACGGTTAGTACTCAGTTCGATTGGGCTCAGGGAAGCTGCAGCGTCAAGGTAGACGGGGAGTTCCGGGAGCTGCCACAGTGGAGCGATGGGGCCACATCACCCACAGCTATCATTAATGCTATTCGTGTGCGACAGTTAGTGAAGCGTGCGGCACGGATCTTCGCGGTTTTCCTTGAGGAGGTGGAAGCTGAGGAGGGGAAAGGAGGGAGTGCAGCAGTTGGTGTGAAGGCGACTCTTCCTGCTGAGGTGAGTGCACTATTAGCAGAGTTCGCAGACGTCTTCCCCGACGAGTTGCCCCCAGGGTTACCTCCCAGCCGAGCAGTAGACCATCAAATAGAGTTGGAGCCGGGGAGCAGGCCAGTAGCGAAGCCGCAGTGGAGGTTGAGTCCAGCAGAGACAGAGGAGATGACGCAGCAGGTTAGGCACTTTCTCGCGCAGGGTTTCATTCAGCCATCTAGATCGCCTTGGGCAGCACCAATTCTTTTCGCACCCAAGAAAGACGGAGGGTTACGGATGTGCATAGATTATTGCGCACTGAACGCCGCCACCGTCAAGAATAGGTTTCCGGTGCCGAGAGTAGAGGATCTCCTAGATGCATTGCAGGGCGCTAGAGTTTTCTCCAAGATCAACCTTCGTTCGGGTTACCACCAGATTCGCGTATTTCCAAAGGACCAGCACAAGACGATGTTCCATACGAAGCAGGGGTTGTACCAGTTTAGAGTTCTACCGTTCGGCTTGACCAACGCCCCAGCGACGTTTCAGACGATCATGAACACTGTCCTTTCAGAGTTCCTAGGTTCGTTCGTTGTCGTTTACCTAGACGACATCCTGATCTTCTCCAAGTCGAAAGAGGAGCACGTGCAACACTTGCAGAGGGTCTTTGAGGTCTTGCGAAGGGAGAAGCTGTACGCGAAGCAGTCAAATTGCGAGTTCTTTCTTCCTGAGGTCGAGTTCCTAGGACACGTCGTATCCGCTAGTGGCATTCGGACCGACCCGAAGAGCCTCCACGGCCCTTCCACCAGACCTGCAGGCTCCTCCCCCTCGCGGCCTTCTTGGGCACGCTCACGCAGCACTTCTTGCTGAAGCTCAGCCGCGCCCCTCCTACCTCCACCGTTGTGGTGATGGGTAGCTCAGACTCTCCACTGCTGCTGACGGCGCTGCTGCTTCCTGCACTGCTGGCGGTGGTGCTGCCAGTGGTGCTGTCAACGGTGGTGCTGCCGCTGGTGGTGCTGGTGGTGGTGGTCTCTAGCACAATCCTCGCTGCATTGACCTTCATCAATTTAACTGCTGCAAAGGCCAAAGCATAAGATGTGCAGAGACGAGAGGGTAGATATGAGAGAGAACAAAGGGCGAGAGGAGAGAATTGAGCTGGAAAGTATAACGGAGCGGAGGTGGAACAGAGAAGCAAGAAGGAAGGAGGGAACAGGGATCCGTTAACCGCAAATCAAAGATCTCGCAGCAATGAGAGAAGGCAATGAGAGAGAAAGCAATGAGAGAGAAAGCAATGAGAGAGAAAGCAATGAGAGAGAAGCCAATGAGAGAGCAGGCAATGAGAGAGCAGGCAATAAGAGAGAAGGCAATGATAGAGCAGGCAATGAGAGAGAAGGCACTGAGAGAGCAGGCAATGAGAGAGAAGGAACTGAGAGAGCAGGCAATTGGAGAGAAGGCACTGAGAGAGCAGGCAGTGAGGGAGAAGGCACTGAGAGAGCAGGCAATGAGAGAGAAGGCAATGAGAGAGCTGGCAATGAGAGAGAAGGCAATAAGAGAAGGCAATGAGAGAAGGCAATGAGAGAAGGCAATGAGAGAGAAAGCAATGAGAGAGAAAGCAATGAGAGAGAAGGCAATGAGAGAGAAGGCAATGAGAGAGCAGGCAATGAGAGAGAAGGCAATGAGAGAGAAGGCAATGAGAGAGAAGGCAATGAGAGAGAAGGCAATGAGAGAGAAAGCAATGAGAGAGAAGGCAATGAGAGAGCAGGCAATGAGAGAGAAGGCAATGATAGAGCAGGCAATGAGAGAGAAGGCACTGAGAGAGCAGACAATGAGAGAGAAGGCACTGAGAGAGCAGGCAATGAGAGAGAAGGCACTGAGAGAGCAGGCAATGAGAGAGAAGGCACTGAGAGAGCAGGCAATGAGAGAGAAGGCAATGAGAGAGAAGGCAATGAGAGAGAAGGCAATGAGAGAGCAGGCAATGAGACAGAAGGCAATGAGAGAGAAGGCAATGAGAGAAGGCAATGAGAGAAGGCAATGAGAGAGAAAGGAATGAGAGAGAAAGCAATGAGAGAGAAGGCACTGAGAGAGCAGGCAATGAGAGAGAAGGCACTGAGAGAGCATGCAATGAGAGAGAAGGCACTAAGAGATCAGGCAATGAGAGAGAAGGCAATGAGAGAGCAGGCAATGAGAGAGAAGGCAATAAGAGAAGGCAATGAGAGAAGGCAATGAGAGAAGGCAATGAGAGAGAAAGCAATGAGAGAGAAAGCAATGAGAGAGAAGGCAATGAGAGAGAAGGCAATGAGAGAGCAGGCAATGAGAGAGAAGGCAATGAGAGAGAAGGCAATGAGAGAGAAGGCAATGAGAGAGAAGGCAATGAGAGAGAAAGCAATGAGAGAGAAGGCAATGAGAGAGCAGGCAATGAGAGAGAAGGCAATGATAGAGCAGGCAATGAGAGAGAAGGCACTGAGAGAGCAGGCAATGAGAGAGAAGGCACAAAGAGAGCAGGCAATGAGAGAGAAGGCACTGAGAGAGCAGGCAATGAGAGAGAAGGCACTGAGAGAGCATGCAATGAGAGAGAAGGCACTAAGAGATCAGGCAATGAGAGAGAAGGCAATGAGAGAGCAGGCAATGAGAGAGAAGGCAATAAGAGAAGGCAATGAGAGAAGGCAATGAGAGAAGGCAATGAGAGAGAAAGCAATGAGAGAGAAAGCAATGAGAGAGAAGGCAATGAGAGAGAAGGCAATGAGAGAGCAGGCAATGAGAGAGAAGGCAATGAGAGAGAAGGCAATGAGAGAGAAGGCAATGAGAGAGAAGGCAATGAGAGAGAAAGCAATGAGAGAGAAGGCAATGAGAGAGCAGGCAATGAGAGAGAAGGCAATGATAGAGCAGGCAATGAGAGAGAAGGCACTGAGAGAGCAGGCAATGAGAGAGAAGGCACAAAGAGAGCAGGCAATGAGAGAGAAGGCACTGAGAGAGCAGGCAATGAGAGAGAAGGCACTGAGAGAGCATGCAATGAGAGAGAAGGCACTAAGAGATCAGGCAATGAGAGAGAAGGCAATGAGAGAGCAGGCAATGAGAGAGAAGGCAATAAGAGAAGGCAATGAGAGAAGGCAATGAGAGAAGGCAATGAGAGAGAAAGCAATGAGAGAGAAAGCAATGAGAGAGAAGGCAATGAGAGAGAAGGCAATGAGAGAGCAGGCAATGAGAGAGAAGGCAATGAGAGAGAAGGCAATGAGAGAGAAGGCAATGAGAGAGAAGGCAATGAGAGAGAAAGCAATGAGAGAGAAGGCAATGAGAGAGCAGGCAATGAGAGAGAAGGCAATGATAGAGCAAGCAATGAGAGAGAAGGCACTGAGAGAGCAGGCAATGAGAGAGAAGGCACTGAGAGAGCAGGCAATGAGAGAGAAGGCACTGAGAGAGCAAGCTGTCAGAACATTATAGATTATGCTGTTGTGTAGGCTGTAGTGGGGCATCACATAGGGGGTACAACCCAATTAGGGTTAGTACTTGTACCCACTTCTTCCATAGTTCATCCATTCTCGTTTCAGTCTTCTCATGGTATCAGAGCAGGTTCCCTCGTGGGAACTGTTCCTAGGGCCCTACTACTGCTTCCGCTGCTACTCGATCTATCCCACGCCCCGTGGCGTGCGACGGCGCGCGGCGATTTTCTTTCTGGCGCGCGCCCCGGGGCGCGCGGCCCCGCTACCCCATCGCGCCGCCCTAGCGGCCGCGTCGCGCCGCCCTCGCGGCCCCGATCCGCCGCCCTAGTGGCCCTGTCACCTACCCCTGCGGCCTCAGCGCCGCCCTTCCCGGCCCCGGCTCTGTCCTTCCTGGCCCCGGCGCCACCTCGGCTGGCCCCGTCGCCTACCTCGGCGTCCGCGACGCCGCCCTTCCCGACCCGGCCCCGCCTCTGCTGGCCCCGTCGCCTGCCCCTGCGGCCCCGGCTCTGCCCTTCCCGGCCCCGGCGCCACCTCGGCTGGCCCCGTCGCCTACCCCGGCGACCCCGACGCAACTCTTCCCGACCCGGCCCCGCCTCTGCTGGCCCCGTCGCTTACCCCTGCGGCCCCGATGCTGCCCTTCCCGGCCCCGGCGCCGCCTTTGCTGGCCCAGTTGCCTACCCTGCGGCCCTTGCGCCGCCTCTGCTGGCCCCGTCGCCGCTCCACCCGGCCCCGCCGCTGTCCCCACGCGGCCCCGCTGTCACCAACGAGCCGCCGGCGCCGCCAAGCTAGTGCCGAGCCGCCCGAGCCAACCGAGCCGCCCGAGCCGCAGCGTCACCTCAGCCGCCCGAGCCGCCGGGTCGCCGAGCCGCCGAGCTGCAGTTGCTGCCGAGCCGCCGTACCGCCAAGCCGCCCGAGCCGCCGAGCCGCCTGAGTCGCCCAAGCCGCCGAGCCGCCCGAGTCGCCCGAGCCACCGAGCCGCAGTTGCTGCCGTGCCGCCGTGCCGCCGAGCCGCCCAAGCCGCCCGCACCGCCGAGTCGCCGAGTCGTCGAGCCTGCTCTTCCCACCACTGGTGAGCCCCTGCCTTACTAGCGTACTGCCCGCCGCTTGCTTGGCTGAAGGCCTTACTGCTGCTACTCCTTCTCCTGCTTCTACTGGCGGAGCCAGATGCAGCCCCAGCGACGTCCGCGTGAGTCCCTCACGCCCCAGCAGCTGCGTGAGTGGTACGCTGGTTGGGGTTGTAGGGGGTGGCGGCGCTACTACTGCTACTACTACAGGCGGCGGCCAGATGCAGCTCCAGCGACGCCCACGTGCATCTCTCACGCCCCAGCAGCTTCGTGAGTGGTACGCTCAGAGTAGAGGGTCTCTCAGTTCTGTTCGCTGCTCTTACGTGATTCGCACTGGTGCTCGGACTGGTCAGCCTTGTGGGACGCCTAGTCACATACAGTCCCGCTGCTTCGCCCGTCTGAGCGACGCCTGGCGTACCGAGTTTGGCGACGAGGCTGAGCTCCCCGACTGGGTGGAGTTGCTAAGGCAGAGGGTAGATATATTTGCTCTTGACTATGATGCTATTCTCACTGCCATGTATGCTTTGCCTACTAGTGCTGACCGTGCCGGTCACCTGTGCGTACCGCCTGATCCAGGTATAGAGCCTGCTGCTCTAGCTGCTGGTGAGGCTGCTGCTCTGGGTGCTAGTGAGTCTCCTGCTCCAGGTACAGGTGCGGCTGCTGCTCTAGGTGCTAGTGAGTCTGCTTCCTCAGGTGCTGGTGAGTTTGCGCTCTCAGGTACTGCGTCGGCTTCGGCCTCCCACACATTCACACTTGACTCGGGGGCTTCTTGCTCCTTCTTTCGAGACCGCACCACACTCACGCCGCTTGGTCGGCCAGTTGCAGTCTCTCTGGCAGACCCCTCTGGGGGTCCTGTCCTTGCTCACTTCTCCACTGTCCTCCCGTGTCCGGCGGCCCCCTCTGGCACCCTGTCTGGTCTTTACCTCCCCTCGTTCTCTACGAACTTGGTGAGTGGTGCTGACCTACAGGATGCGGGGGTTCACCAGTTCACTCCTGCGAGCCAGCGGGTGACCCACTTCACGGACGCTCGAACGAGCCGATACTTGGCCACGTTTACTCGTCGACCGGGGTCGAGCCTGTACACACTGACCACTGCGTCCCCTCGAGCCACTGAGTTTGGTCAGGTAGCTGCGTCGGGTCAGGTGTTTGCTGCAGCGTCCAGGTCTGGTCCTGAGTCTGCCCCCTGCTCGTGTCGCCTCCTGTCTCACGAGACTCTCCTCTGGCACCACCGCCTTGGTCACCCCTCCCTGCTTCGTCTCCAAAGCATGGCCTCCCGTGTCCTTGTCTCTGGTCTTCCCCGGTCCCTCCCTCCCCTTCCTCCGGGGCCTGCCCCTGCCTGCGTCCCCTGTGTGGAGGGGCGGCAGCATGCTGCCCCTCACTCCTCCCAGTTTCCTCCGACAGAGGCCCCGCTGCAGACGCTTCACATGGACGTGTGGGGCCCGGCCCACGTCCGTGGACATGGTCACGAGCGCTACTTCCTGCTGGTGGTTGACGACTACTCGCGTTACACCACAGTCTTCCCCTTGCGCAGCAAGGGTGATGTCACTGAGGTGTTGATCGACTGGATCCGCGCAGCTCGTCTCCAGCTCAGGCGGAGCTTCGGCTCGGACTTTCCTGTTCTGCGTCTGCACTCTAACAGAGGCGGAGAGTTTTCCTCTGGCCTTCTTCGGGCCTACTGTCGTGCACGATGCATCCGCCAGACCTTCACGCTTCCGGACTCTCCACAGCAAAATGGGATTGCTGAGCGCCGCATTGGCATGGTCATGGACGTCGCCCGTACGTCCATGATGCATGCGGATGCCCCCCATTTCCTGTGGCCGTTTGCGGTCCGGTACGCGGCGCATCAGATCAACCTTCAGCCCAGGGTCTCCATGCCGGAGACCTCCCCTGCTTTGCTGTGGACGGGGAAGGTTGGCGATGCGTCTGCGTTCCGTGTCTGGGGATCTCGGGCGTTTGTCCGCGACTTGTCTGCGGACAAGCTGTCCCCTCGTGCTGCTCCTTGCGTCTTCCTGGGTTTCCCCCCTGACGCGCTAGGGTGGCAGTTCTACCACCCCACCTCTCGCCGTGTTCTGTCCTCCCAGGACGTCACGTTCGACGAGTCGGTCCCCTACTACCATCTCTTCACCTACTGCACTCCGTCCCTCCCCCCGCCACCACTATTCCTTGTCCCAGGTCCCCCCCCGGTAGACCCCCTCCCCCCACAGGGTCCTGCTCCTTCAGGTGTTACCCGGGTAGACGCTCTTGAGCCTGTCGAGGTCGCTGGTCACTCTGGTGCTGCTGAGGGTGCTGAGACTGGGGGTGCTGACTCTGGGGGTGCTGAGCGTGTGGGTACTACGCCTGGAGGTGCTAAGCCTGGGGGTGCAGAGCCTGGGGGTGCGGAGCCTGGGGGTGCGGAGCCTGGGGGTGCGGAGCCTGGGGATGCAGAGCCTGTTGGAGCTGGGCCTGCTCGTGTGGCGTCTGGCGGTGCTGTGCCTGGCGGTACTCCGGGTGCTTCGTCTCGCCGGGATCCACTCTCTCCACAGGAGCTGCGTGAGTGGTTTGCCCGTCGCTGGAGGCGAGTTGCTGGAGCTGGAGGTGCTGCGGGTACTGGAGGTTCTACTACTACTGAGGGTCCAGGTACCGCGGGTCCCGGAGGTGCTCGTACTGGGAGTCCTGGAGCTGCTGGGCCTGCGGGTACTTCTTGAGCTGGAGCTGCTGCGGGTACTTCTGGAGCTGGAGCTGCTGCAGGTGTTGGCGCGGAGGCTACTGCTGTCGGTCCTGGAGGCGGTCCTGCTGGGGGTGCTCGTGGTGCTGCTGGAGGTACTGGAGCTGGAGGTGCTGCTGGTGCTGGTGCTGCCGCTGGGGGTGCTGAGCCTGGGGGTGCTGTGCCTGGGGGTGCTTTGCCTGGGAGTGCTACACGTGGGGGTGCTGAGCCTGGGGGTGTTGAGCTTGGAGGTGCTACGCCTGGAGGTTCTCCGGGTCCTTCGTCTCTGCGGGAGCCACTCTCTCCACAGGAGCTGCGCGAGTGGTTTGCTCGGCGCTTGAGCCGTGCTGGTGGAGTTGGAGGTTCTTCGGCTACTGAGGGTGCTGCTGTTGCGGGTCCCGGAGGTGCTCGTACTATTAGTACTGGAGCTGCTGGGCCTGCGGGTTTGACTGGAGCTGGTGCTGCTGAGGGTGTTGGCGTTGAGACTACTTTTGGCGGTCCTGCTAGGGGTACTCCTGGAGTTGCTGGAGGTTCTGGAGCTGCTGGAGGTGCTGCTGGAGCGGGTGCTCCTTCTGGGGGTACTTGTGCTGTCCCTGCTGTGTCTGGCGTCGCCGCGCGGCCTCGACCGTACTTCGTTCCACTCCTGCAGTAGGTTCTTGGTCTTTCGCCTTCTACTGGTCCTCCTCCTCCCTTAGAGTGTCCACAGCCTGTCCCGTCGCAGTTACAGTTACAGCCGACCTCCCCACTGCCTGCTCCTTCTCCCTACACTGGTCCTACTGGAGGTCTTGCTGAGCGTCGTGAGCCTGCGTCTCGCCCTGTGTCGCCTGTCCGTGCTGCTCGCACTAGTGGTCGTGGTTCGCGTCAGCGTCCTCCTCCTGTCCCTGACACGCACAGGATGTCTCTGCATCCGTCTACTGCTCCTCTGCGTGCCCCTTTGCCTTCTCCTCCTGAGTCCTCTCTTCCTACTCTTGCCGACCCGGAGTCGGACTCTCTTCGTGCTGCCAATCCTACTGTCACGCGTCTCCTTGCTACTGTCGTCACTGACCCTTCCTTCGAGTCCACTGCTGCGTCTGCCCTAGTTGCTGAGCTCGTCGACTTTGCTGCTCGCTGTCGCCTAGACTACGCTGCTAGTCTTGTCGCTGAGTCTGAGTCTGTCTGTCCTCCGTCCGTCGGGGGTGAGTGTGCCCTTGGCACGGACGTCCTTGAGGACAGGCAGGAGGAGTTCCAGTGTCTGGCAGCTGCTTCACCTCATCTCGTGTCCGTACTGCTTACCCCTGAGGGAGACCCGGATGCACTTGACATCCCGACTCCGCGCTCTTACGAGGAGGCGATAGAGGGTCCCTACTCCTCTCAGTGGCAGGCAGCTATGGAGACAGAGATGGCTTCCTAGAAGTCCACGGGCACCTACGTTGACGAGGTTCCCCCGCCTGGGGCGAACATTGTCAGTGGCATGTGGATCTTCGGGGTGAAGCGGCCGCCGGGTTCTCAGCCTGTCTTCAAGGCACGGTACGTGGCTCGTGGCTTCAGTCAGCGGCAGGGAGTTGACTACTTTCAGACCTTCTCTCCCACCCCGAAGATGACCACTCTTCGGGTACTGCTGCACGTTGCTGCTCACCGTGACTACAAGCTGCACTCTTTTGACTTCAGCATAGCTTTCTTGCAGGGCAGCCTGCACGAGGAGATCTGGCTGCGCCGCCCACCTGGCTTCACTGGGTCGTTCCCTCCTGGTACCCAGTGGGGTCTCCGGCGTCCAGTCTACGGTCTCCGCCAGGCGCCACGTGAGTGGCACGACACACTGAGGACTACGCTTGCTGCTCTTGGGTTTGCTCCTTCTATTGCCGACCCGTCGCTGTTTCTACGCACCGACACCTCTCTGCCGCCGTTCTACATCCTCTTGTACGTCGACGACTTGGTCTTTGCCACAGGTGACACTGCTGGACTCGCCCACGTGAAGTCCGAGCTTTAGAAGAAACACACGTGCACAGACCTGGGTGAACTGCGCAGCTACCTTGGCTTGCAGATCACCCGGGACAGAGCACGCCGCACCATCACCCTGACTCAGTCACACATGGTGCAGCAGGTTCTTCAGCGCTTCGGCTTCACGTACTCCTCGTCTCAGGCCACTCCTCTGCCTACTCGCCACTCACTCTCAGCTCTGCCTTCGGATGAGTCCGTAGAGTCGAGTGGCCCGTATCCAGAGCTTGTTGGCTGCCTCATGTACCTGATGACCTGCACACGACCTGACCTTGCATACCCTCTTAGCATTCTTGCACGCTATGTTGCTCCTGGGAGACACCGACCAGAGCACATGGCTGCAGCGAAGAGGGTGTTGCGCTACTTGTGCAGTACGTCGGGCATGGGGCTAGTGCTTGGAGGGCGCAGTCCAGTGGTCCTCACTCGGCACGCGGACGCTTCTTGGGCTGACGACTAGGCTACGCAGCGGTCGTCACAGGGTTACACCTTCAGCCTTGGTTCCGGCTCTATCTCGTGGCGGGCTATCGCTCGTCTTCTGTTCTCGGCTCCAGTTGTGAGGCTGAGATCTACGCCGGGGCCATGGCTGCACAGGAGCTTCGCTGGCTCACCTACCTGCTGACCGACCTTGGAGAGTCGCCTCGTTCTCCTCCAGTCCTGTACGTAGACAACAAGGCCATGTTGGCCTTGTGTCGAGAGCAGAGACTGGAGCACAGAATAAAGCACATTGCTCTTCGCTACTTCCTTGCTCGTGAGCTACACCAGCGTGGACAGTTGCGGCTTGCGTACGTGGCCTCTGAGGCCAACACTGCTGATGTCTTCACCAAGGCACTTGCGCCTTGTGATCATCAGCGCCTCTGCACTTAGCTGGGTCTTGTCCCTGTCTTGCCTCACTTGCTCACCTCTTGACCTTTCTTGTACTGTTACATATATATATACCTGCTCTTGCTTGTCTAGCCTTATATATATATATGTATATAATCCTGCATGTGAACTGGCCTTGTGGCCTTGAACTTGTGCTCGGAATGTGTGGTGACTTTGTGATCCACCCTGAGATTGCTTTGCTTTGTTTTGCTTAACTGGTTTTGTGACCCCCTGTTCTCCCCCACTTTGGCTATGGGGGTGTGTCAGAACATTATAGCTTATGCTGTTGTGTAGGCTGTAGTGGGGCATCACATAGGGGGTACAACCCAATTAGGGTTAGTACTTGTACCCACTTCTTCCATAGTTCATCCATTCTCGTTTCAGTCTTCTCACAAGCAATGAGAGAGAAGGCACTGAGAGAGCAGGCAATGAGAGAGAAGGCAAGGAGAGAGTAGGCAATGAGAGAGAAGGCAATGAGAGAGCAGGTAATGAGAGAGAAGGCAATGAGAGAGAAGGCAATGAGAGAGAAAGCAATGAGAGAGAAGGCAATGAGAGAGCAGGCAATGAGAGAGAAGGCAATGATAGAGTAGGCAATGAGAGAGAAGGCACTGAGAGAGCAGGCAATGAGAGAGAAGGCACTGAGAGAGCAGGCAATGAGAGAGATGGCAATGAGAGAGCAAGTTGTCTGACCGGCGATGAGGGCAAGGGCGAGCAGCAGGAGGCCGGGAGGAGAGGTGCGCATCGACCCCATGATGCTGACGGCGGGGGTCCTGCGGGAGAGACGGCGGGTGTCCCGCGGGTGAGGCGGCGGGAGTGGTGAAGAGGCTACCGAAGAGGAGCAACAGAGACGCAGAAGAGTAGCTTGTGCTGTCTCGTGCAAAGGGGAGTTCCGTGCAAAGATGCAATAGACGGACTGAACCGGCAGGAAAACTTCTGCTTGACGCAGTCTAGTTTTGAGGCGCCTCAAAAGGCGAGTTCCGTGCGAAGATGCAGCAAAAGGACAGAACCGACAGGAGAACTTATGCTTGACGCAGAACGACAGGGATGGGAGAATAGCGGCGGTGACTGCAAGCTGGGCTTGCTTACTAAAAATGGACTTTGTTGGGCTGTTGTTTTATGAGGCAAGCATGACAGCCGCTGCGCCATTGTCGAGCACTCTAGCTACAATAAAAACCGCGATATGGCCTTGGCTCCAGCGTGAGTCACGACTCGGAGTCGATAAAACCTATATTATTGATGGCAGATATGCGATGATGCGAAATGCGATGGGTTTGGCCCGAGTGCATTGCGAATCGCCGGATGCGTGCGACGGCTTCGCGAGGGGTCCGTAAGTCAGGTGGATTTTTACTCGAGTGCATCGCATGGGCGGAATTATTGGAGAGGAGGACGGGATGCATTGTGTCGTTCACGAATCACATTCCATGGCACAACGTGGTACGCGTTCTCGTTCGTCGCGGCTTCCGTCCGTTTAGCGGTTCCCAATCAGGTTCGGCAGTGGGGATGTGCGCCTAGGCGAAATCTCATGTGACCTGCAACTGCATTATATATGCGACTTATCTGTTGGTCGCGGGGAGAAAGCGAAAGTAGTACTGTAGCTTATCGGCATTATCAGTCACAGAGAGAAAGAAAAAGTGGTAGCTTGTCTGCATTTCTAATCGCAGAGAAAGAGAAAACCGTAGCTAGCCTGCATTATTAGTCGTAGACAAAGAGAAAGTGGTAGCTAGCTGGGAAGAGATCATCGAGAGGCCTGAGGGCGCGTTTCTATCCCGTGTCAGACTTCAAGTCATGCGGCCTTAGTCTCCAATTTGTCTCTTCCGAACTTCCAATCGCCCCAAAAACGAGCCACTTCGGGTCTTCCAAACCTCCACTTCGTGTCAAACCTAATGTATGACACTGGATAGAAACGCACCCTAACATTAGCAGAGAGGTGGTGAAATTAGGGCGGCGTGACTCGCACCCCTAGTACGAAGGTCCGAACCTGCATGCGTCGCAGAGCGAGATTGAAGCTGTTTGAGCAACGTGTTTCAACTCGTGCGAAAATCGCATAGCATGTCAGACCCTTGTTGCGAATCCTCGTCATCCGAGTTTCACACATCGCCGTGCCGAACTTTTTCGCCAGCCGTACCCTCTAACGGCATTCTCAGCAACCTGATTATGAACAAATGTACCTCAACATGTAAAAACTTCGTACAAGTGCACAGAGGTACTGGTAGGTTTATCACATGCACTTTTACGTAGGTTTCTTCATCTTAGGGTGCAACCCTGTGGAGACACAAATGTCTCAATCGCTTTGTGACACACAAAAACAGCATAAACTGTAGTGTGTCCCAATTGCGAGTCGCGTTTCCGTGACCATTACTGTATTTTTTATTGGTCAGCGTGAAACGCGCTGACGAATTGTAATCCGACTCGTCAATGTGAAAAATTCGCACGCGGCTCGAAATGTCAATGCACCTGGACAGCCTGCAATGCCAATTTCGTGCAGGAAAAAATCCCGCTCGTCGAAACCACACCCCAGCCAAGCGGTTGAAAAAAGGGATGTACAGTCATTTGTGTCACCCAAACAAATGCGCACAACTGTACATCTCGCCTGGTCGCCTAGAGTCGCGATACATTGGTTGTTTGTGACACAACATTTGGCAAATTTACAGGCGCGACTCGGGAAATCGGGGATTGAGACACAAGTGTCCCCGCAGGAATGCACCCTTACACTCACTAACTTCGAGATACGGTATCACTAGATTGGAACACATCTACTACATTGCAAGCATGAAAGGACGAGTTGCCTTATTGAGACTGCTGTTGTAAAGCTAACAAACAACAAATCCCATGAAAAGGGTGGCTTATGTATAGCAAGCCTCGAACAGCAGGATTTCACAACCATTATATTGTTTGTGGGGTATTGGAAAGCAAACCATATATGGTCATCTATGCAACCAAGTTGGATCTAAGTTGGGTCTCTGTGGAGGGAAGAATCCGGTCCCCCACAAGGGGAAGCAACTAAGTCAGTGCAAGTGCATACGGCACTTTCTTGAGTGTAGGCGACACAACACATGGAGCAGATAAAACCAGGGAACGGCATGTCCCTTGGTTCTACGCTGGGGTATTGTGGAAGCAAAAATCCGGTCTGATTGAAGGCAACCCACTAATAACACTTCACGGAGCGTGTGGAGTCAGGGCGACTGTGAATGGCACAAACAAGGGGATGACAAAGAGGAAAGGATTACTCGCAAGTTCTGCCTCTGACGATTAGAGAACTGGAGAAGAAAGAGAAGCGGGAAGATAGAGCAGACAAGACAACGATGGAGAAAGATAGCTCAATCACTCACGCCGAAGAGTATGCATGAAGCGGTGCAACTTGTCTGATAGTCGCACCATACGGCCCCCCTTCACAGTTGTCCACATTGTAAGCATAGTAGCGCTGGCAATTCAGAGTGGTACCGATGTTGACAACAGCATAGCGAAGCATGACTTTCCCAGCCACTGCAGATGGGAACTGAGTGCACCCATTTGGGTTCAGGCGGAGGGTGTAGGGCCGGGAGGTATTGTCCTTTGCTGCTGGATTTGCAATAAGTGTGACACTGAAGGAACTGACTGTGAAGCTTCCTCCTGAGAAAGAACGGCAAAAAGGAAGGAGAGAGTGGGGCAAGTACAGGGAGGACAGAGGGTAGTGAGTGGGGAGGAGGGAATGCGACGAGTGGAGGGATGCGAGTGGGGCGAGTGAGAAGAGGAGAGAGTGGGGCGAACGAAGAGAGGAGAGAACAAAGAGCGGGATAAGCTCACCCGGGACACATACGGTGGCGGTCATGCCAGAGCCTTCAGGGCACTCGCAGGAAGGCACCTGCACCGAGTTGTAGCTGATTAGATCTAACATGTGGTTTTCATAGAATTAAAGAGAAACCTCACCCGCAACACAGTCGCTGGTGGTCATGCCAGAGCCTTCAGGGCACTCGCAGTAAGGCACCTGAACCGAGCTGTTAAAGAATGAAGGCACAGTCTTGCAGGTGGCTCCAGTCGGGCAGGCGCCACAGGGTGAGGCTGAGGGGTGGGGATGGGTGCAGTGCGGTATGTTAATGCAGTTGCAAGCACGGTCTTGGATGTGGCTCCTATGGGGCAGGTGCCACAGAGTGATACTGAGGGATGGGGATGGGTGCAGTGCGGTATGTCAGTGTAATTGCTGGAGGGGGATTTTGTCTCCTGTGGAATGCACAAGAAATGCACTCTCACTCTAGCAATGCGCAGGATGGAGTAGAAGAAAATTGAACAAAGGATAGACAAAGAAATGCAAGTGCTAATATGAGAGCAGGAAAGAACTCACCCCACTTGCAGTAGCGCTCTCCGTTTTGATCCACCTCACAGGTGCCATCAGGCCCACAGCCCAACGCCTCACAGGCAGAGTCATCTGCTGTATAGGCGAAGAGAAAGGTGCAACAAACAAAGATATGGGAATGCCACCTCGCAGGTGCCATCAGGCCCGCAGCCCAACGCCTCACAGGCAGGATCTGAAGCAGAGAGGAGAGAAGCATGCGTGAAAGGCTGAAGGAGGCGGCAATCAAGAGAAGAAAATACGCATACCTCTCTCCTAAGGCCGTCCGACGACTTACTTATGCCTTCAGAACATGCTTCCTCATTGCGTGCAAGATTATGTAGAAGGCGATTTTTGAGGCAGCTAGCTAAAAAAATCACCTCAATGCTCATTTAGGGCAAAATCATGTGGAATGCGCGTCATTACAAGTGCAAAAACGAAGAAGAGAAAAGGGCTTGCCACGGAGGAAAGCATTGCTGCTTAGACAAAGCAGCATCAGAACCATACCCTTCCGTGACACACCCGAAAGAAAGATGTTCACCAGAAACACGCCCTTAAGTGTCAAGATCCTCAGAATCACACCCTGATATTCATACATTCCGCACCTGCTGTCGCTGGTGGTGCCGTTTCCTCCCCATAAGCTGGTGGTGCCGTTTCGTCTCCATACACTGAAGGCAGGCTACGGCGTGTCATGTGGTGTGTCATGCGGTGCGTCATGCGGTGTGTCATGCGGTGTGTCGTGCGTTTCACCGTGTCGTCCCCTTTCGCTGCCGTCATCATCTGAACTGCTGCAGAGGCCAAGGAAGAGGATGCGCAGAGAAGAGAAGAGAGAGGCGATATAAGGAAGCTGAGAAGAGGGAGATGAGAGGATCGAGCTGAAAATAGAGGCGAAGTGGAAAACAGAAGCGGGCAGGAAGGAGCGAGCAGGGAGGCGTACACCCGAGAGCAAACAAATCAAGGCAAGCGCTGATCACAAGTAAAAGCTCTTGACAGCAATGAGAGAAGGCAATGAGAGAGCCAATGAGAGAGCCAATAAGAGAAGCCAATGGGAGAAGCCAATAAAAAAGCCAATGCGAGAGCAGCAGACTGACCGCAGATGAGGGCAAGAGCGAGCAGCAGGAGTCCGGCAGGAGAGGCGCGCATCGTCCTCATGATGATGGGGGTCCCGCGGGAGAGGCGGCAGAAACGGCGGCGGAATAAGCAGCAGAAGAGGTGACCGGGCTATCGAAGAGGAGCAACAGAGGCGCGAAACAGGAGCTTTGTGCTACCACGTGCAAAGGCGAGTCTCGTGGGAGGGTGATGCAACCACAGGACAGAACCGATAGGAGAAGCCGAACGACAGGGATGGGAGAATAGCGGTGATTGCAAGCTGGGGAGAATAGCGGCTTGCTTTGGAAATGGTACTTTTGCTGAACTGGTGATTTATGATGGAAGCATGGCAGCCG